TCCGAATCTTTATCTTCAAGTAATTTCTCAATTTCTTGCTGGGTCAATGATGCGAATCGAGAAGCCATCCTTACTTCACTGTCCGTGAACTTGACATTACTCCACCAGAAATCATGCATTGCACGCACAACCTACAGATTATTCACTAATCTGTAGGTACAGATTAGTGAATAATTTGTAGGTTGTGCTGTTTGCCAGAATTAACTAGGGGCGTCTAACCAATGAGAAGACAGATGGTGACTACAATGTATAATAAAAAAGATTAATTGAAATCACTGATTGTCAAACCTCTTTTTGGTACCATTTGCTGGAGTGGCATATTTTCCCTCTAATGATGAGAGAGTCATCGTTGGAAGAGGGTTTCCTCTGTCCTTCTGTGCGCTGATGTAAAAGGAAACAAATTAATTAAAATGTGTACAATAACTGCAAATTGCCTATTGATCACTGCAGAGATTAAAAGGAAGAAGTGGACATCACAAAGTGATTCCTTGATAAGTATGCCATTCCAATAAAACTTGTTAGACAAAGTGTTAATGGAAGTGTTCTTAATTAACAAAGCTCTCTGTGCCTTGGCACATCTCAGAAACAGCTTTAAAAATCTACAACTCTCCAGTTGAATTTTTAAGTCTTTTTCTTTTCTTCAAGGAATTTGAGTCTTTTGGGCTTGAGTAAAATAAAGTTGTCGAAAGGAAAACAAAATGCTTTTTGAGATGGCAAAATCATTGTGCCAGTTATCTAAGACAAGCTTATATGCTGTGTAAAACAAATTCCAGGCAACTGAATGTGCAATCGTCTTATCACATACCGTTTCCTCCAAAAGACAAACAAAGTAATGAGTACTGCCCCAACGACTATTACAATACCCACAATTCCAACCAGTGCTTCCACTGGCAATCATGTTGCTGTCTGAGCTTGCTTTACACTTACTTCTGGATCTTCCTTAATGGTTGGTTCAGTGATTAAAGTTGCGAAATATGGAACTTTGGTGGGTTGGGCAGTGGATGCTGCTGAAGAGCTCATTTGTGTTGGTTTGGTGGATAGTGCTGTAGAGCTCATTTGTGTTGGTGTGGTGGATAGTGCTGTAGAGCTCATTTGTGTTGCTTTGGTGGATAGTGCTGTAGAGCTCACTTGCATTGGCTTGGTGGGTATTGTTGAAGGTCCTGGGGCTGAAAATTAATAAAAATAACAACAGGCATTTTAGTGCAGAGCAAATGTATCCTATCATTCCACACAACTTGAACCGCACAGATAACAAACACCATATTGAGTATCAGAGAATTTATGCATTTAGGCTGTAATTACTGGGTGAAATATATCATTTTTGTCTGTTGTATTTAAAATTCAGAAGAGTGAGCTTGTAGATACGTGGGTCCAGCAATTTTTTCTTCGTGGTATATTCATACTAGACAGTCTTTTAGTTGTTCATGTTGAAATAATCTCTGTGCCCCAGGCACATAACAGTTCCATTTAAATTCAAAGTAAAAGTGAGCTGCAGCCAAACAATTAAATGTTTAGTTTTGTTTTTTTCCTTTACTGATTTACCTGTAGCTGACAAATTACCTCCTACATCAGTTTACTTACTTCTGATGTTTCTACTTGTACACTGAAAGAATATTTGCAGTTGACGGGTTTCAGAGCCTTTGGAACAATTGTAATCAAACAGAGCTCCTTTAACAGGGATGTGACATTCTTTGAAATCCTGGCACATTGATACAACTTTACTGTTAACATCAACAGGTGGGCAAGATGGAGATGACACCTGCTGTCCACAAGTGTATGGAAAAGAACCATATGTTGCATGTAATATGTTTATCGTGTATTTGTATCCTGAACAGTTCAGTGCTAAGAAATCTCCATCACAGGCTTTTTCAGCATGTATGTTGTCTGAACCTGTTACAAAAGAAAGCAAAATATGAATATCAAATAAATTGTAATGTTTGGGCCTTTTTCTCTTATCCAACTTTATTTCTACTTCAGTCAACATTTCTTACAGTATTATGAACATAATTACACATGTTTTTTTCTACTGTCTTAGGATTTATCCCAAAGGTTTCTGTCTCTGCTATTACATTGTTTGAGAAATAAACTGGTTACCAGGTTTTCAGGGTCAATAATTTTTCTCTTTTTTGCCTTGCTTTTTACATTTTCTAAGTGACTATACTAAAGTAGTAAATAAGATTAGGGCCAGGATTAAGTAGTGTGACACAAATGTCTTCTAGAAATTATACCAAAACAACTCATGAGCACCAATACAAACATATAACAAGTTTATCTTTTGCACCTATTAATACCTGGTGTTATGGCAAGGTAGTTTATCTGAAATCCTTTCTGAGTTGCAGTGGTGTTGCCAGAGTGAAAGTTTACTCTGACTGTACTTGCAGAAGTAGTTATTAACATGGATGTGTTCCCATTGCAATATTTTCCCCCAGTGTGAGGAGATAAATCAGTGAGACCATCCTGAACTTTGACAAAATCTTCCTTACAAAATGGTGGACTTGAACTTCGTCTTATATCAAAGTGTGTGAACATGAGAACCAAGTTTTTTCTTCTTGGAGCTGAAATGATCCATACACAGTCTTTGTTGGAGGGGTAACCAACTGGATAGCCTGGACTTGCAATGATGCCGGAAGGAATTGTTGAAAAACTTGAACAATTATCTGAAAAAGCCATTTCATTAAGAATACTTTTAAAATTATGTGAAAATTCCTGATTATTTTGTTACTGATTGTGTTTATGCTCTTATAACACTTGATAAAATAACCCTTTCACCTCGAGAAGTGACTAGTACCCAATTACTCCTTACAATATCAAACATTGAGGTCACGAAACTAAAAGAAGTGATCACCAACAAAGCTCTTGATTGCTAAACAAATTCTCCTTGTCAGCACCTTACAAAATGTACACTTTAGAGAACAGTATGGAGAAGATGCATACTGATGTAAGGATGTAAAAGGTTAATTAGCAAAAAATGATGACAACAACATGTCTGGGATTCATATAGACTATGAAGATGCAATATTTGTAATGTTTGAAGTTCTCAAACCAAATACACTTACTCAAAAAGATACAATATTTAGTCAAAATTGTCTTGATGATAATTGAAACAAAGGATGAAATGCTGAAATAGTTACATTTTAAAGGCTTCCATCTCATCATTTACATTCTCATGATAGTACTAGCCTATCAAGAGAACTGCAACAGCCTTTGTAACTGGCAACAGCCCTTATAACTGTGCTTCAGTATTGTTAATGTTATCATCATACATGAACTTGTCAATATTGTCTATTTTTCCCAAGTTCAAGGACACAGTATTTACCATAAAAAAAACTCCTATTTGTTAAAAAATGAAACTACTTAAATTTGAGTTTTCTTATTTGTCTTTTTCAAAGTTAGGGTGTTGTCTCATTAACCCAAATTTTATTGCAATAATAACAAATGGGACTTTCATTTCAAGATACTGTTATCGAGTAAACTTACCAGCTACATCACTGCAGCCATACACTTCAACTCGAAGACACATGTCAAATCTATGATCCTTTGGGTATATCCTGAGGTACCTTGTTACAAATGTATCTCTAAAGTTGTTCCGTTTCACACTCTTGGCATCTGAATTTCCAGTGAATAACTGAAAAAAATAAAGGGAAAGAAAATCACATTTCCCACCATTGTACATCAACATGATTGTGAATGTGAAAAACCATACCTGAAGACATGTGGAGGATTACATACCCTATCAGAATCACCATCACTGTCTTTGTAAGTCAACCAATCCATTCCATTATAACTGTACTTTATTGTATATGTTTTAACATAGTAGCTCAATAAATTCCAATTTTTTACTCCTTGTGTAGCAATGGCTGAAACATGTCTGACCCTCAACAAGTCTATCTGAAAGTATTCGGATGTTTCATCATTGTTTTTGCTGCACCAAGCTCCATTATTGTTCAATCTACCATACTCAGGAAGCCAACCAGAAGAAAATGTGTTGCTGCTTAGCTGGGAATCTTGAATTTTGTTGCTTTCCATACCAAGAGCATCTGTGCAATCTAAAAGGATTGATGATTAAGAGAATATTTCTCAGTTTTAAAGAGATGCAAGGATTGTGATGTGGGAGATGGGGGTTAACTAAATTCCTGTCTGTCTACAGATGGGTTACTTCTTGGCCATCTTTCTTTCTTTGCTTTTCTTTGTTGTGAAATCATTTGGGCAATATATATTTTTTGTCTCTGTAACAAAGACACTACCAGTGGCATTAGCAAGGTAGCTAAAGGAATCTTTCCTTTTAACTGGCTCATACACTTATCCTAGAATTTAGGTGTCTTTTTTGTGTGTGAGGTAAAATGTGTGTGGAATTGTTTCTGTGAGAAGTTAACTAGTCCATACAAGTTTATGGTGGCCTTTAAATTGTTGGTTGAATTTCATCTCAGTACTAAGGATAATTTTGAAAAACTGAGTTTAAGAATCATTACCACTTCCTGTTTGGTAAAAAGCTTGTTTACCATATGACAGCCCATCAGAAATTCAGACAGGTGTTGTGAAGTTTCTGGGAGTGCTACATCCCTTTCGGAGATGCTTATTTACCATCAGAAAATTAGCCAGATGTTAAGAATTTTCTACCAATCTAGTGCAATTCGGTTATAATGGTCGAATTGTTTCGAAAAGCCCAGGCAAACTAACAGTCTTTGTGTTTTTAGAGCAAGCTTAAAATATTGATAAACACTGTTGACTTTCTTTGGCAAAATAAAACAATAACAAAATTATGATATACAAGAAACTTCCTATTTAGCGAAGGAATATTGCAGTGGCCTAAATATATTATCAATGCTAAAGCAAACAATTGGAAAACGAATGGATCTGTAAGGTATTTTTCTCTCACCAGGAAATAGAAAGAGAAATTTCCTTAATAGGAGGGGGCGTGTGAAGGGCCGGTCAGTTGGCAAAATACCAAAATTGCAATTATTTTCTGTCTCGCGAATGTTTTCTGCGACTCAAAGAAGCTTTCTTTCCATAGATTTTCCCTCATTTAGGAACCAATGTGTAAAACATACCCCAAAAGGCTGCGAAAGAGCCCAAATTCTTCCCGAATTTATCTATAACCTGAATCTCATCGAGCAATGTTTGTTTATTCGAACTTTATGCAAATGACGAAAATCGCTTCTTTGACGGCCGGCCAAGATTCGTCACACCAAAGTTCTCCCTGAACGAACAGGATTGTATATGTTTTGTTTACACCGAAAAACTGTAGAATAAGCGCTTTCATAGCTTTGATAAACTTGAACTAACCCTCCTTTTAATCAACCTAAAACAATTATAGTGTACACGTTGTACGAATAGTTCCCGTATCTTTCTTTCATGAAGTAGGCTTAATCTTTTTGTTTACAACGCACAAAAGCTAAAAACGACTCCTTCATCAATTGAACTGAACCCCACTGGTTCATACTAAGCGAAAACCAGGAAGAGTGTACATGGTACATTTTATTACAACAATTTCAATGACAAACGCAATGAACCTTCGTAAGGACTACTGTGCTCTGAAATGGTTCGTGATAAATATCACTTGCGACTATTGTAAGTTGTTCTTCGAAGAACCTTCTTGTGAGTACTGGGGAAATTTGAAATTTTCACAGAGGAAATAATAGAATTTGACGCTAGGTTACGTTATCTAATAAAAGTCCGTGATCAATGAAAGGAGAATCAAATTCTTTCCAAGAAATTAAACTGCCAAGATACGCAGAAACACATCCTCTTTAATATTTGCAAATTATATTACTTTACTTCGTCGCTCGATGAGTTGCGTTGTTTTTCTGTAAAGCTTAAAACCTAAATTATTTCATGAACACGTTGAAAGGATTCCTTTTACGTTTACCTCGTGCTTAAGACTAGCTGGTATGAGGTGTGAAAAAGCTATTTGAAAAACTTTACCTTGCCGTGATGCGTCGCTGAAAAGGAAGCATCGAGCCACGTAAACTGCGAAGAAGAGCGCGAGGTTAAAACTCGGACTCATCTTGACGTACAGAGAAGCCAAAATTGTTTCAAAACAGCCCGGGAAAACTCTGAAGAAGAATTAAATAAACAAAAGAATGTTATTCGAGCTCTTAGTCGAAAAATAATTCACAGCATGCCATCAACTTACGAGAGATTGCGTTGCGTTTTCAAGTGAAGCAGTCTTTGTTTGCAAGGAGGGGGGAGGGCATGGGAAGGGTAAGTCCATGGGCGGTTGTGGGGGAGGGTCATTTCCGCATACATTTTAATTTTGTTGGTTGCGTGAAAAAATGTCAAGTAGAGAAAAAAGCTGGTCTAAAATATAGCCAGAGTGCAATGAATCCTAATTATAATAATGTAGTATTATTATCTAAATTTTTCGAGGGACGAAAAGATTCAAAATTTTATTAGACAAAGCTTAAGATTAGCTCGTGTCCAGCTCCCGAACAAGTTAGGATCTGGGAACGAATATTAGGGTTACTGTGGTTGCATAAGAATTTTGCTTACGTCAATTAACCCCAAACACATAATCTTGTAGCTTGTGCCCAAAGTATAACTAAAATATCCGAACTGATCACGAAGCAAAGAATTCCTACATGCTAAATTCAAAATGTCGACGTAGTAAATCGGTTGGAAACTGAAAATGTCTACGTAGATATACCTTCTACAGATCACTGGGTTTGATCGACATGTTTCTGATTAACGTTTTTTTTATGTATAAATGAGTGGTTGTTCAATGTTTTCATTCTAGTTGCCGAAAAACAGGAAATACTTGTTAGTTATCGAAATTTTGAATTTAAACATTCGATTCACTGCAAAACTTCGAAGATCAGCGAAGTGTTTACAGTGATATAGGAAATCAGAACCCATATCATAAAGCTCTTCATTAACTATGTTCAGTTCTTCCAGAATAAAACACAACTGGTTTTTATTAAAACTGCAGTTTTGAAGCTCACCTTGACTTCTTAATTTTTATCTTGCTATCTGGATAAAATTGGAAAAACACCCACAAAACCGACAAACTTATGTCATACCCCCAAGCTAACTGAATTAAGATTGTTATGATCTTTAATTATATAGGGTCGCTAATCCTGCGTGCGTTTGAACTGATAAAGTTCTTGATTGATTTGGAGAAAATGTTATATAGTTGTTTGCATGATGGCAAAATAAGAAAATGGACTGAACACTCTTCACACTGAAGATGGGGGTTAGAAAAGGTTAATGAATATCTTGAGAACAGTAACCATTTAGTTTGTATTAGTTAGAAAAATGGGCTATGTGCAGCGTCGTCAAGATGTCTCCTTCGATTTCTCGTCTCGTGGAATTCTTCGAAATATAGAAGGGGACCCAGAATAGCCAGCGAATATTGCTGTGTTAAATCACCGGCATAAATGTCCAGATGGTTCTTGTGTAGAACTCGATGTTCGGTTTGCGTGCAACTCAGCTGGCGACGGGCTTTACATAAAATATTTTAAGTGGAAATATAATAACCGTTTGCGTTTGTAATTGGCCGTGTGATGATCAACAAACCACAATAGCAGAAAATTAGGCTCCAAATGGCAATAAGGTTGCGTCATTGTAAACCATTTTACAAGTTGGCGAAACCCAAAGAACCTTCTTCTGATCCAGGTCAAAATGACTTCCAATTTCTAAAATGTTTCCCTGAGTCATAAACGTCACAAACTGTTGTCTATTTGAGAAGTTTCAAGTAGAAGTTTAAAATGAAACCTTGGAGAGGATTTGTTGTATATTGGGCGAGTGCTCTTAAGGTGTTTTCTCATTAGGGGGCAAGTTTATGACGAGCTTAATTCGGCGCGTTCCCTTTGGCCTTGAGCCAAATAAACAAACAAGAAAACCAAACGATATTTCCTTACACTGAGCACAAAAGTGTATTAATGGAGGCACAGATGAGCAGTTCATCAATTTAAAGGCTCTCTTTCCTGTTGGAGAAACAATGAACTGAATGGGGCCGGTAACAAGGCTGTGTTAAACGCGACTGTTAAGAGTAAGCTTAGGGTAGTTACGCAATAAAGTGTTTATACGAAAAGGGGTACTCTTTAGACAGTCATGTCGTTTTACGGTCTTTAGGCACTTGGAAAAGTGCCAGACTGTCTACCGCCTTTTTCTGTACCAGGCTGTCCGTTACAACGTTTTTTGCTTATCCTGAGCGACTGAACTACACAAATATGGCCTCTTTCTCATGTATATGAAATCAAAAGCACACTACTCAGTGAATACGCGCGCGCGAGTTTCGATGCCTCGCTCGTTATCACTGAATTCTAGAAGTATTCTACAAGTTTGGACGAGTTCTTACAAAGAGTCGTGATTTGTCAGTGACAAGTGGAGTAATTATTTGCAGAAGGCTGAGACAAATAATCGGCCTGCAAGACGCTGATAAATCACAATTTTGCAATAATTAATCAGCAATTGTTTTACCATCAGATTACCGCCAAGTTTGCTCTCCATGATTGTTTTCGATATCCGCTCTCTGACAGCTTAGGGAAATGAATTGCCATTTTCCATGGATCAGAATGGACACAACTAAGCACAAAGAGTATTTCATTGGCGGCAAACTGATAATTAGACGGTATGACGTATGATCAGACCAGAGTTAATAGTTAACTCTGATCAGACGTAAACGGTTATTTGCATGACAGGGTTGCCTCTCGACCAATGATAAGTAAGAAGAATTGTATCGAATGCTAAACGAAATTGTTACCCAAAGCGTGAAAAAAAAGTATTGAAAAGGAACGCGAGGAATATCGGGATTTGTCAGTAACAAGCATGTTTGCCTCGTTCACAACTCGGATTTGCGTCACGATATAATGGATGCCCTACGAAGTCCAACAGCTGCTTGTTATATCTTGATAATTTGGTTATATCAACCATATGTATCAACCAAGTTGAAGTGGTAAATTAGCCACCGTAAAGGGTTAAAAAGCTTTTTAACTCTTTACGGTGGCCAATTTACTATTTCAACTTAATTACCTTGTTACCCCGACCGACGCAGGACCACAGTTTCTTTAGAAACTTACCCTCTTTATTATATCTTGAGCTGATTTACGCATGTATTTTGGTTGATACCAATCATCTATTGGGGACGTAGCAATAGCCTAGATAACGTCACCATCAAGTTTTTTTGGCTACTTTATTGTATAAAAAAGTTAATTTCAAGTTAGCGTGTGTCTGTTCTGTAACAGACCACACTGAGATGAGGTCGAAATGTTGCAGGAACGAAAACGTGGCTCACGAGGTGCAGTGTAACCACAGGCAGCCCAAGCTCACTACTAGAAAAGCGGACGTGACTCTTAACGTGTTGCGCAACGTTTTATATTTATAAAGGTTTGTATGGGATGTTATCGGTTTGCCTTAAAAGAGAGAAAAAAATGTCTTGTTTTGAAATAAAATGGGCTTACCTTATTGCTTTGTTGTTTTCTTTGTTGATTCCGAGCGTCTCAGGCCATTTTGAAGCGTTTTCGGCGAGTTAGCGCTATGTTGGTGTTCAACTGCTAAAAGAAAGACAAGGCCGGAAACCTATTTTAGAAGTGTCCGTCGCCCGAAGCAAATAATTCCGCCAAAAAATTACCACCAGTCTCGATTCCTCCAGAAAATCAAAGCAGAGATGTTGCAGTTTCATTTCCATTCACTCGATTCCCAATTCCTCCCACAGATCTTTCACTAGCGATGCTTTTATCTCCAGATCGATCGGCTTTCCAATTTCGNCTCTGCTTTGATTTTCTGGAGGAATCGAGACTGGTGGTAATTTTTTGGCGGAATTATTTGCTTCGGGCGACGGACACTTCTAAAATAGGTTTCCGGCCTTGTCTTTCTTTTAGCAGTTGAACACCAACATAGCGCTAACTCGCCGAAAACGCTTCAAAATGGCCTGAGACGCTCGGAATCAACAAAGAAAACAACAAAGCAATAAGGTAAGCCCATTTTATTTCAAAACAAGACATTTTTTTCTCTCTTTTAAGGCAAACCGATAACATCCCATACAAACCTTTATAAATATAAAACGTTGCGCAACACGTTAAGAGTCAAGTCCGCTTTTCTTGTAGTGAGCTTGGGCTGCCTGTGGTGTAACATGCCAATATATATAATGAACATATTTTTTGGCACCGTCATTTGCGATATTCGTTGCTTTTTCTCAAAGTAATTTTGGTTTTATCAACGAAGTTATTTAATAATGTAAATTGGCCACCTTACACACTTTGAAAGCTGACGTTGCGAGCGTTAGCCCTTCGTCAGAGCGAATGGAGGAAACGTGGATTGTGTGTGTGGACGTGTGTGCGTGTGTACGTGCGTGCGTGCGTGCGTGTGTGTGTGTGTGTGTGGTTTGTTTATATGCAGAAAATGGAGCTACGCGAGAAAAACAAGAATAAATAAGTAGAATGAAAAGTGTTCGTTGATACCTCAGTTTGGGATTAAGTTAATCAAACATGACATATTCCCTTTTTGGGAATAGAAAAGCATCCCCTCCCTTTAAACTACCATAGTGTTTAGCAAATGCATCTAAGGTTCTTTGAACTCATATCAAATGATTGAGAAATGTCAGGAATGTTCGGTAATTTTTGGCAGCATGACTCAATCTCGATTTTGCTCTTTCCTCATGGATAAATATAAATGTTACTTAATAATTAGGAAATAACCTAGTCGGTAATACGCGCGCGCTTTCATTTATCATTAGGTGTGTTTGCATAGGAGGATCTTAAACATAGGATTTGTGAGATAAGGCTATAACATTTGGGAAAAAGTTATAAAAGTTGGCAACAGCTTTATTTATTATTATTGCACAAGATCAACATTATTACAACGCTTCCTATTACAATGAAATTAACACAATTTTGAACAGAAAGTCTCAGAAACCTTCTTCGGTTTATCTGGGAGACCCCCCTTTACTATTTGAGAAGACAAGTCTGACGGTCTACGATTTACAGATCCTGTACATTGATTTGCATTTATATATATATATATATATATATATATCTTATTAACCAAGCGCGAGGGCCGTACTGGGAGAATATCGGCCCGAGGTCTTGACAGTACGGACCTCGCTGCGCTCGGTCCGTACAAAAAAGACCGAGGGCCGATATTCTTCCAGTACGGTCCCGAGCAAGCTTGGTTAATAAGAGATTTATTATACGACTGAAGTTCAAAGGGACACAAGTGCGGTATCATTCGGGACCATTCGGGACAGTGCCCGGTCCAATACTGAGAGAATATTGACCGGCAATAGAGCATTTTGATTGGTTGATTTTAGTTATTGGCCCTCTGACTGCCCGAGTCGTGTAATAAGAATA